GCATCACTTTGATGCATATATTTTGAACTGTAAAGCAAGTTTTGGCTGCGGAAACCTGGCTAAGACTATTCTTAGTTCAAGAAATCTCAAGCATCCACCTAAATGGTCATGCCTACAGTTTTTTTTTTTTGAGGAAAGAATGGTCCAATACAGCTGGAATTTTCAGAACGAAACGCAATAATTATGCCGACAGATACCGCCGGACACTACACAAACTGGAGAAGAAATTAGGGAACATTGATGTGTGCCTGTCGCATGGCAATGTTCACTCGCACATGGCATTCAAGACCGATGAAGGCACATTTTTCTGGAAGTGAAGACCATGAGAATGCTGATGGTCTTCACTTCCAGAGTTTAGTACTTCATTTAGTACTTCATTGAAAAATGGTGTGCGGAATCTTATTGGACACCCCTCGTATTAAAAGCCAGTCTTTCTACATCGCGTTGCATCTAACCATATTAACAACATCTTGCCGTATTCACAAACATGCGAGTCCGAAATGCAGAAATAAAGAGGTCGAAACAGTGGCACGCTCATGTCCCATACAGAACAGAATCAATAAACTTAAATACAATTTCAAGTTAATAGAGTTAACCCGCCATGTATCAAACGTATAAATATAATGAACGAATGCATGAATCTCATGAATCTCATGAATCCACTTCGTCTTGGGCCGGCCATTCTCACATCGATGTCCAACCGAAGCAGTCGGTGATCCCGGTTCAATGAACCGCGAATAGGGTTGTGACTTACACATGACAAATCATTCGTCGAGAGAGTAAAATTTGAAAGTAGGTTGATATTCGTGGATGAGGGAAGTAATGCCATTGCAGAGATAGGGTACATAATTATTTCAATTTATATTTTCTTCAGGTTCGTGCCCCGCTGGTGAGGTGACAACTTTGACACTAGAAAAAAAAAACCATTAAGCGACTTTTAAAATAAATCTGCACGAATAATTAACGTTCAATATTTCAATTCTAAATCTTTTCATGCATGGAAAAGAAGTTCGAGGAGTCGAAAGATAACATATTTTCATAAAAAGGTGCTTGGAATCGCCCTATGCATGAAAAATGCTGATTATAGAGTTACAATGTTGGACATCCGCAGGGAAAAGTGGAATGAGTCCCGAGAGACATTTCCGGCCGGAATTTTTCCATTTTGTCCGTTGAAAAAAAAGTTACGATGCGGGTTAGACAAGGCCAATGGGGATACCCATCTAGAAGAAAAAGTTGACGATAAACGAAGCTGGTGTTATATGGAGTGGCGGGATAGCGAGAGTTGACTGCACGTAAAGCTGCGCACATAAATTCACCTTTTTTTTCGCGGGAGAGCATGGTGCTCTTCTACTCGTAAACATCCACAAATGAGTCCGAATTTCATCGGTTTTCCATCGCAGCTGGAGAAGCACCACAGCCAAATTGCACGGAATGTCGCCTGACAGAGATGGGCAAGGGAGTACGTGGGCGAAAAGCGCGAGTCCGAAACGGGGAAGACTTGCGAGTTGTGGCAGGACCTCTGTGATTACGACCAAATGCCTTCGCAGCTGTCGAAGTTGATATTCTCTCACCTGCCTTTCCAAGACCGGAAAGTCAAGGATTTCTTCCGCGCATGGATCGCATCAATTAATCATTTCCGCCCTACTGAACAGGATTTCTGCCGAAACTACGGTTCCATGAAACGTCCCTGGTGCATTGTCTCCTACCTCTAACCGCCTCGGTTACCCTTAAATCGATATAAAAGTAACCTATGTTTTTTAATGCAAGAATTTCCGTCAGGGATCATGCTTTCTGCTATTGTCTCCTCTTCGTTCCTCAAAGCGTCGTCGTAGCATTAGTTTCTTCATTGATTCATTCCATCGATGCGATTTTTACTTTCCCATTTCACCTTAATACTGTACTTCGCTGTTAAAGAAAATCATTGTTTTTTTTTTAATGTTCACCAGCATATATGCTGCAGTCGTTTTTCGAACTTACCGGGTCTTACCTCCGTGTTTCCTCTCGAAATCTTAAATTTCGTTCATTCCATTCTGCAATTTGATCATCCATCCAACAGCTAAATATTCCAGATTTGGAATATTCCGAGCAGTCGCTTAAGTCTCCGCTTCCTCGACTGCACAGAGCCCCTAGACTGCACCTGCCCCGATCCCGGCGTGGGCAGCTGTATTTCTGTCGATTGGGGCTAGGGCATCGTCACGACTAGCTCTGCTAGAAAGGTAAACGTTGAAAGTTGTGATACGTAATTGCGACTGTGAGAGAGGTCTTGATGTATCTAAAACCTGTTTTCCTGGTTACAATTCATCCTAACATTGGATTTCATTCACTCGTCCTTAGTTGCTGTTTGCAATGGGCTCTCTCCTACTAGCAGATGTAGGAACACTCTTCCTTCCTCTCCTTCTATTGTGCTTTCCGTTTCCTGTTGATTTCGAAGTTGTGTCTTCTAGAGTATAAGAGCTCACCCGTGTGGATATTTTTCATTTGCTCATTATCTTTCATCGCTCAAACTCCCTTTTTGGGTCATAAAATTGAAGGCATCAGTGTCCATTTGCACTCTTGGGGGATATTTTTTGTTTATCCTGTAAATATGTTTTCCCAATAATGGTATAAAAAAATCTATCAATATGAAGCATAATTTCTTGGGAGTTGTCACCTCCTTGATGTACGTTTACCTGACCCTGAATCTTGTCTATCCCTTCATTGTGCTAATGCGTCGGAGTGAGATACATTTGTAATGGTGAAGTATATTTAATTGTGTTGTTTTTGACATTGTGTGAGGCCCATTTAGACGCATATGCAGGAGTATTATATAGGGGAAGGTGGGGCAAACCGGGGCAACGCAGATTTTATCCAAACCATACTCGATATCTATCGGCTATTTACCATTTTATAACCGCCTACGACCGTTACAAGTCTCCTCACACGGCGGTGTTCTCCAAAGTAGTTTAAGCACCGAGACAAAAAGGAAAACATCGACTTGTCTTATTTTGCGTCGAGTTTTTCATGAGCGAAACAAATAAACATGGGAACATTGGAGGCGTCCGAAATTTTTTTGACTGAAGGTGAAAATGTGAATTATTGCATCAAGTAATCATTTTTTCACTCATCATATTTCATCAGCTCACTCACCTTTTATTTGGCAGTGTCTTTATTGTAGACAGTGCTGATGGGGCAAAACGGGGTGACAGTGAGGAGGCGAAATGGGGTGGTATAGCGGCTCTATATATTTATTGAAGTCTGGCTGGAATATCCATTACAATGGTGAGGCTCAGGCCGACTCGATGTGCTACTGCTCAGATTCTTTCTCCCGCTCAAAAACCCAATGAAAGTTGGGTCACTGAGATTCAGCTCATGACAGCTATGCATGCGTCGAACGCGACACGGATATGGAAATGTTCTTCTGTGACATTGTAAATTTGCATCTATGATGAATACGTGAATAACAATTTGAAACCGGCAACGATTGTTTTGCCTTAAAAGTTTCTTTGTAGTTTCCGTTCTGCTGCCATAGTAATTAGGCATGTAATGAAAATATGTGAAAATATGCGAAAAAACAAGGCTTAATTGCAGGTTTCATTGCTGTTTCTGTTCTTTGACCTATTTAAATAGGTATGTATTGTGAATAAAAACATGGTAAAACACTATCTAGAGGAGCACCCCATTTTGCCCCAATGGGTGGGGCAAAACTCGGCGTTTGACAACAACTTTTAGAATTGTCGGGGGAAAAAAACCCATCGCAGATTTCGCGATGAATTTGAATCCTATTCGTAGGTAAGACATGAAAGATACCGCATACCAATCCACAACGTGCTGCGCCAACTCCTTGGTACTAAATTTTGGCAGTTTTCCTGAACTGCTCCGTTTTGCCCCACCTTCCCCTACTAGTGAGTTTTCCCTGAAGGGCAAACAGGCTCGACCTGGTCGCGCGTTCAGTGTTCCATTATTCAGGATAGTGATTCATTAATTCATTTTCAATGTGGGAAAAACGTATTCAAAGTGGGTCCCTGTCTAAAAATGTCGATTCGTCTCCTCATGGCACATATTTCATTAAAAGTTGCTCGGATGATTTGTTTTGTGCCTAACATCAGATCTCTTTATAATCTTCCCTGAGGGGACATATATGAAAAATAGAATCTACACTCAGCAATCGAACACCTACTTTTGCTCCAAGTTTCAACTTTCAACAATTTCTTTTTTTCATTGGCCAAAAGAGATTCAGGAAATGCACATTTTGCAAGAAACGTGCCCTTAGGGGTTTTTCCAGGAGAATAAATGTCCAATATCCTCAGCAAATATTAATAGGAAGTGTGGCCTGACATCGCCGACGTGAACGGTACTATTCAGAAGCCAATCCCTCATCGAATGGACCCAGGTGATGGCCGCAATTGGTTCCGTCAACGCAAGAATTTCACAGTTTCTTCAAGTACCTAAATATCTATTGAATACCTCCAGTCCTCTTTCAACATCAATAGATATGAATAGCGAAAGGTGCATTTTGGCGACACTCATTGCACTTTCTTGAGGAGCTCCGAACAGAACGCACTGCATTTTCGGCGTGCAAAAATATGCATCCACCATTTTCATTTCGACTCTAACACGCCAACGAGCGAGCAAAGTGCCCAATCCCTCCCTGTGACTTCGCTTATGCATTTCTTTCCATAAAGTTCTTGATTTTCTCGCTCCTCGCTTTTCCAATGCCGGGAATGGAAACTCACTGCTTAAAATTCAAAAAGCCATTTCTGGGAGATGTGAGATGCAAACTCCTTCGAATAAACATAGGGTAAGTGATATTGATGCGAGAGCGCTGACGCTATAATAATATAATATAATAAAATAAAATTCGCTCCACCCATCATTCTGCATGCATCGATCTCATCGTCAGTAAATAATCTCATTGGCATTTGGCATCACCGGCGGCACGAAGAGCGCCAATGGGTCCCGAGAGTCTTCATTACTTAATTTAGAATTGTAACATTCAAGCATGTTTGCCCCGAATTTAGAATTTAAAGTCGCCTTCTCTGTCGCTCTGTCTCTAAGGCGATGGATCGGGTTTCGAGGGATTTCGAACCTTGCAGGACTCCCGAGACGAGGTCGATGGTCTTTTCCAAGGCTGAACCGCCTGAATCGATCACTCTGCGTGCAGAAAATCAGACATATATATTTTAAAAATTTAGTTTCAGCCTTAGAAGAAAGTAAGAATAAATCACTTTACCGAGGTCGCGTGAAATATACGGGGTGTCCCGAAAGAAAGGCCGCTATTTTAATGTCCATACCAGGTACATTATTTTTTAGCGATATTTTTTTTGCATGTAATGAAAAGAATAAAGATTAAGCTCCAAAATCCTTTTTTTTCTTAGACCTGAAATTCGTTAAATTCGTTAAAAGAAAAAAGTCAATTTCGGTTGCGAAAAATTGGTTTTTCGCCGATTTTCCGTCGCCAAACTTCGATTTTTTTCCTACATCATCCTTTAAGATGTGAATATTTAAAGTCTGAAAAAAGAGTTTTTTGGCTAAGTCGTTCTTCTTTCCATCAGACGTAGCACGAAAACAATCCTTATTTTGGGTCGCCTTGTTTATTACGCAGGTGTTAATAATTAATAATATCCATGATTGAAATGTTGCATGCAATTACTTCAATTTAAGGTGAAATCGAAAGATCGATATTCTCTTTTCAGGGCTCTTATGAGCCAATACGTGAGATTGAAAATAACGGTATATGGTATGGAATATACAGTGTACAAAAAAATATCGAAAAGCTTACATTTTTAGAAAGCTTAAAGATTGAGAGAAACATAATCGGTTCAATGGAAACGTGCGAGTAAAATAGTGTGAAAAAAAAATAAAATAAAATAATTTGAAAAATACTAAGCTGAAGAAACAATTGACAAAAATGTTTGTTTATAATCGATACCAAGGATTCAACTCGTTTGGTACAGATGACAATGGTCCGCAATATATAAATTGAGAGTTTCTCCATGGTGTTGTACATTTATAAATTACTGTACGAGTGGAATTAATGTTACTCAATTAAAGTTAATTAATGCTAATTACTCCTCGGTTACTCATTTTTAGATAATTTCTCTCTATGCTTCGGGTTTGAAATGACTTCTCGGTCGATCCGATCGAGATTCACCTGGGTTGAATCGTGCGCTCGCTGGAACCGCCGAGTCGGGGATGCTCCCAGAGCGTGTCTTCCCCAAGGTCCAGGGCCACGTGCGACACCTCCACCTGCTTGCGGGGAGGCTGGAAAGGAGGGCGGTGCGGAAAGAGAGTCGAAGCCAATTATCTTTTCGGGTAATGATTGCCAAATTAAATCATTGGAAACTGGTTTGGAAATTAGATGGGAAAAGGTATGCGACGCGCATATTACTTCCACAATTATATTTGGCGCAATGACAAGCGCGATGCTAAGGCCAGTAATTCCAAAGCTCCTGGATTTTTTTTGGGACACGGTTTGGAAAAAGAAATTGTGAGAAATTGTGAACCAACTTTGGTTTTTCCTCCTGCGATTTCAACGAGTAACAAAAAAAAAAGATGCAAATCAACGCAAAGCCTTCACTAGAGAGCAAGGGATTCGACGGCGAGGAATACCCGCGAGGAAGAGCTGCCGTGGACGTCGGGGAGGTTGAACCGGTCCTTCATGGAGGCGACCTCCGTCCTCGTCTCGTCGATGTATCGCTTCCTCTCCTCGAGTTTTACATAGGGTAAGTGATATTGATGCGAGAGCGCTGACGCTATAATAATATAATATAATAAAATAAAATTCGCTCCACCCATCATTCTGCATGCATCGATCTCATCGTCAGTAAATAATCTCATTGGCAATAAATGCATTGGCATCAGCGCCAAATATTTGAAATCTGAATCGATTAAAGTGGGCAGAAGTTTGAACGCCCCAAATCCATTCGCATATGGATTGTTTTCTTGGTTGAATGAAAACAGTCCCGATTCTGTTCCATCGATATTCAGCGCCTTCCAATTTTTTTTTTAAATTACATTATGCAATAAAAAAAAAGTGAGGCAATCCCCTTCGTTAAGCAACCGCTGCTCATGCTAGGTATTCCGCATTTCTGAGTTTTTCGGGTGGAGAAAAGCAAAAAAAACTAAGGGAAAATGTCAAAGCATTCAAGCCGACCCTCCTTCGGTTAATAGTTCGAACCGATCGGTCGTCGGAATCGAGCGAATAAGCTTTCGGCTTCAAGGAATAAACCGCCGGAAATATTTGTATATGAACGGCAATTTATTCCATCTCGTGTGCGTACAATTCGGGATATAAAAACAGAAGTATCCAGGAAATCGCTGAGAGGTGAGACGATTCTGAGTTTTAAGTGAATAATATAATGACGATGGTGACGATGCAAATCCCCGAGAGAACCCCGATGGCGGTCCACTTTCTTCCACCTAGAAGAAGGAAACAAGGTGAAACATCAAGGTGAAGGTGAAACAGCAAGGTGAAGGTGAAACAGCAAGGTGAAGGTGAAACAGCAAGGTGAAGGTGAAACAGCAAGGTGAAGGTGAAACAGCAAGGTGAAGGTGAAACAGCAAGGTGAAGGTGAAACAGCAAGGTGAAGGTGAAACAGCTAGGTGGAGGTGAAACAGCAAGGTGAAGTCTGTCCCAGCAAATCGGGTCTATCGAAAACGCTGCAGGCGACTTGTAATGCAGGGTAAGCCCGAACTCTTTAAACATTTTATGCAAGAATTTATGAATTAGCGTATCAATCTTGTAATTCGGAGACGATCATCGCCCACCGAGTTCCAGAGACTGACGGTTGACAGAAGACCGGGAGGTGCAGATAGTACTTTGCTAGTACTAGCAGATCAGATTCTGTCTGCCTTGCTGGTACTAGCCGTTCACTTTTTCTGCAAGAATTTTGACTTTTCATCAACTTTCCGAATTGTGCTCACTCGTGAGCGACTTGGCATCACCGGCGGCAGGAAGAGCGCCAATGGGTCCCGAGAGTCTTCATTACTTAATTTAGAATTGTAACATTCAAGCATGTTTGCCCCGAATTTAGAATTTAAAGTCGCCTTCTCTGTCGCTCTATCTCTAAGGCGATGGATCGGGTTTCGAGGGATTTCGAACCTTGCAGGACTCCCGAGACGAGGTCGATGGTCTTTTCCAAGGCTGAACCGCCTGAATCGATCACTCTGCGTGCAGAAAATCAGATATATATATTTTTAAAATTTAGTTTCAGCCTTAGAAGAAAGTAAGAATAAATCACTTTAACGAGGTCGCGTGAAATATACGGGGTGTCCCGAAAGAAAGGCCGTTATTTTAATGTGCATATCAGGTGCATTATTTTTTAACGATATTTTTTTTGCATGTAATGAAAAGAATAAAGACTAAGCTCCAAAATCCTTTTTTTTTTTAGACCTGAAATTCGTTAAATTCGTTAAAAGAAAAAAAGTCAATTTCGGTTGCGAAAAGTCGGTTTTTCTCCGATTTTCCGTCGCCAAACTTCGATTTTTTAAAAAATTCTAAGTCATCCTTTAAGATATGAATATTTAAAGTCTGAAATTTTTTTTTGGCTGAGGAGTCCTTCTTTCTATCAAGAAGCAAGAAAACAATCCTTATTTTGGGCCGCCTTGTTTATTACGCGGGTGTTAATAATTAATAATATCCATGATTGAAATGTTGCATGCAATTACTTCAATTTAAGATGAAATCGAAAGATCGATATTCACTTTTCTGGGCTCTTATGAGCCAATACGTGAGATTGAAAATGACGGTATATGGTATGGAATATACAGTGTACAAAAAAAATATCGAAAAGCTTCAATTTTAGAAGGCTTAAAGATTGAGAGAAACATAATAAATCGGTTCAATGGAAACGTGTGAGTAAAATAAAATGAAATAAAATAGAATAAAATAAAATATTGTGAAAAAAACTAAGCTGAAGAAACAATTGACAAAAAAGTTTGTTGAGAATCGATACCAAGGATTCAACTCGTTTGGCACAGATGACAATGGCACGCAATATATAAATTGAGAGTTTCTCCATGGTATTGTATAGATATTAATTACTGTACGAGTGGAATTAATGTTACTCAAAGTTAATTAATGCTAATTACTCCTCAGTTACTCATTTTAAAACAATAAAATCTCTCTATGCTTCGGGTTTGAAATGACTTCTCGGTCTATCCGATCGAGATTCACCTGGGTTGAATCGTGCGCTCGCTGGAACCGCTGAGTCGGGGATGCTCCCAGAGCGTGTCTTCCCCGGGGTCCAGGGCCACGTGCGACACCTCCACCTGCTTGCGGGGAGGCTGGAAAGGAGGGCGGTGCGGAAAGAGAGTCGAAGGCAATTATCTTTTCGGGCAATGATTGCCAAATTATGTCATTGGAAATTGGCTGCTCCGAAATATCTGCCAGAAATTAGATGGGTAAAGTCATGCGACGCGCATATTACTTCCACAATTATATTTGGCGCAATGACAAGCGGAATTTTTTTGGGACACGGTTTGGAAAAAGAAATTCTGCTTTCACCTTTGGTTTTTCCTCGTGCGATTTCAACGAATAAAAAAAATTGAAATCAGCGCAAAGCCTTCACTAGAGAACATGGGATTCGACGGCGAGGAATACCCGCGAGGAAGAGCTGCCGTGGACGTCGGGGAGGTTGAACCGGTCCTTCATGGAGGCGACCTCCGTCCTCGTCTCGTCGATGTATCGCTTCCTCTCCTCGAGTTTCTCGTCGGCGATTTTCAGCGCCCTCGCGTTCCGCTTGCTCAGTTCTGTCCCCGGAAAATCAAATAACAATAACAAAAATCACCTAATTAAGGTAATTTTTCCCGCACCAAACGAGTCCTCCAGATCCTTGAGGTCCCACTCGATCGTCCTCAGAATGTTCTGCAAGCTGGTCCTCGCCCGTGTTAAGTCTCCCTCCTTGACGAAGCCCGGCGGCTTCGTCTCCATGTACATCAGGTGGTGGTACAGATCTCGGGCGTCTTGGAGGGCTTTGTCCAGCTCCCTGAAAGACAGCAATGGGGAGGTATAGACATCCTCCCTCGTATTGAAAGTCTGGGATTCGCAGGGTTTCAGGGTGTAGCGGTTTGAGGGAAATACGCCGGCCCTGTGGCAGGATATTTTCTCTAATAAAAAAAAAACAAAAAATTATCGAGCATTTCAGGTTTTTTTTTTTTTTCCTCCTGAGTCTCGGTCCGATAGTCCGATTTTTTTTTTCCCCCGAGGCTATCTGTCCCGTGATTCGCGTCGCATGGATTCGGCGTGCGACTCAGTGGCTGGGCGATCGGTGCTTTCGTCCAACGTCGCGTGCTTAAATGGCTTAAAAAGGCTTTAAAAGGCTTAAATTGGCTTAAATTGGCTTAAAAAGGCTTATATTGGTTTTAAAAGGCTTATATTGGTTTAAAAAGGCTTAAATTGCAGCTCTGAGCAGATTTTGAAAGTGACGAATAGAGAAATTTAAAATACTTTCAGTGAGTGCAGATTCCATGGAATGAATACGGCAATCTCACGTATATGTAATTTCCTTAATATATTGGAAAATGTAACATTAAAAAAATTTTAATGTAGTCAGTAGGAAATGAAACAATTCTTGCATGATGCATTGAAACGGATAAAATTAAGTGAATGTTTGGTGTAAGAGTGGCCGGTGAGGGATAGATTCATGAAAAAAAGGTTTGAAAGCCAGCCAACCATAGTTTCTTTTTTTCGGCGTGAAACCAGTGGCCAGCGACCGAGCTCTTGTCGAGGAATTGCCATTTCGTGGCTTCCATTGCCCGTTCGCCCGGGAAATCATGGAAGGCTGGAAGTGGTGTTTTATCCTTTTCCACCGTCTCGATGGGTTGTTTGTTTTTTTTTATTGGTTTTTGTTTTTTCAAGTTTTTTTCTTGTACTTTGGTGCGACCTGGAAGCGACGTGGATGCAGTTCCCTTTAGATGTCATCAACGGGATCGGCGAGACCGTCACTTGGGTCGTGAAAGCGTGAAAGTATTTTTCGCTCTTAAGTGCATTTTCCCCAACCCCAGTAGGACGTAAAATTAAGTTGACATTTAATTGACGTCCAATTCAATTTTCATGTGCGACTAGGGAACTCTCTTGCGCCGGAGGGGGGGGGGGGAAACACATTGCAAATATAAATTTTCCACCTAAACCCATTTAGACGGCCACATGGATTCATAATTGGTAGCATTCATGATAACATGGACTCGAGTGCGCATGTACTTTTGTGGTACATGCGCACTCAAGTCAATTAGGGCATCTTAGAGCGCATGCGCTCGTTTTCTCCGAACGACCAAAAAATTCTTGACTCACCGGCGCCCGAGGGAGAAAGGATCGTTGTTCTCAGCCGACATGAACGTCCCGATCGGTGCGGCCATGCGTGGATGTGCAGATCCGTGGATGTGCGGATCCGTGGATGTGTGCTCGGCTTGAGTCACCCCATTGATAAGCTGCTTATCTTCCTTCGCGGGGACTGCTATCTATATCTTCCGTGTTTTCTTCTTTCGGGATTCGCGCCTCTCAACTCTGAACGGCTGAGATATGCATGGAAGTGATGTGGATGAGAAATGCATGGAAGTGATGTGGATGCGGGGAGGCTGGCTCGGAACCTCTTGAACTCCGGACTTCCAACGTAACTCGAGCATCTGCAGGTCTATGCTGATTCA